GGAAAGAGGTTGCAAAATGCCTAGCCAGTGTGTTTCTTTCTGTTTTTTGTCCCACCTGACAAAGCTTGTTCTGCTCTTTTAAGGTATGCAGGTATTTAAATCCCCATCTGATTTCTCTGTGCGTAATGCCTGCCAACCTAGATTAGCAGCAGTAGTTAATCCCTGGAGCTGCGCTTAGGGCATTGTCCACTCCTGCTGGCTGCGCATAGTAGGTTCTCATCCTCATCCCTGCAGGATGGGGATACGACCCTTAGCTAGCAAGTGGCAACAAGAGCTGAATCCCTGTGCAGCAGGAGAGACAGACCTCAGCAGTGGGGTGGGGAAGGCAGCCTGAGCTTCTGGCCTCCTCTCTCTTGACTTTTTGAACCCACCTTTTGCCTTCTCTCCCATGGGCAGGTTAGAGAAGCTGCGCCACCAGCTCATGCCCATGTACAACTTTGATCCCACCGAGGAACAGGATGAACTGGAGCAGGAGCTGCTGGAACATGGGCGAGATGCAGCATCTTCCCAGGCATCCCAGAGCAAGGTGGGCAGCAGGAGCCAGCCAGTCTGTTATCACAATCACTGGCACCTGCACTGCTTTTGTTAGAGAGTCAAGGAGTTTTTGTAGGGTTGTGCAGTAAGGAAACCGTGTAAGAGCTCAGGAGGGCTTCCCCTGTCTCTGCTACCCTTGAGACAGGGGGCTTGAGCATTTTGGAGGCCTTAGGATGGCCTGAAGAGTCAGGAAACTAGGAATAAGAGCCTGGAGAGGCAAAATGCTGGCTCTACTCAGCTACGAGAGAGAACAGAGAAATCTCAGCAATTAAGGATGAATTTGCTACAACTTACCTCACAGGGAAACCACAAGGGAGCAGTAAGGAGTCTGCAGTTTACTGGGAGAGGGGGCTTCAAATGCTCACCAGAAACAGAGTCTACCTTGCCCTAGCCCTGAAAAGCAAATCGTTTCCACACAGTTTTAAGGTATCCCTGGTTTGTGTAGGATACAAATGTGGAACAAGGCCTTGCTGAGTGAAGTCTTGAAATTATAACAGTTAACTGCGTTGCAAGCCCTGAAGAGTGGAGGCAGAAAGCCTGCACGTGGCTGTGGCATGGCACATCTGGTCTTGTCAGCACCTGCAGGCCAGCCTTGCTGGGAACAGGACAGGCATGGCTCAGAAAGAGAAAAAGATGGAGAGTTTTTTATTTGGATTTGGGGAAAGAGGAAGGCTTTGCTTTGAACACTCTTGAGTACCTATTGCATGAGACATGAGGAGAAATGATGAGCTCCTCGGAGACCACTGAGTTACTACATTAGTGAGTTAGGAAAGGGCTTGATGGCTTGGCCAATTTTTTTTTTTTGGTTACTACTGTTAATGGTCTAGATGGGTCTTAGACAAGAGACTGTCACCTTCCCAAGTATACCAAGAGGCAGGAGGATTTCTTACCATTGTTTGCAGCCAGTTTCACAATGTTCTCTTTCCTTTGTCAAAACTACCACACACAAAAAGTCTTTCTGAAAGACAGAGCCAGCAGGGATGGTTGGAATAGGCATGTCTCTCAGCCAGTGGTGCTGCCCCTCACTAAGAGTCCTTTTAATTCCTCTCCAGCTGCTCTATGCTACCCATGTCTTCCCTTGCTTTTCTAGCTATAGGAGCAGGAGTTCTCCCAAACCATCCTCAGTTTCTACACATTTTATGCCTTTAGATAGTCTGTGGCAAATTTGGTGTGGGGCAAAGGGGGAAAGGAGAAGAAAATATAGACATTGGAATTATAAAATATTTAACTTGAGGAACACTTCCTAACCTGCCAAAGAGCACCTGGGAGATATATATGTTGGAATATGGAAGACAGCATAATCCATATACTGGTTTGGGAAAGCAAAGAAATTCCGTTGTGTAAAAGCAAGGGGTCTTGGCCTCTGGGCAAGTGTGTGCAGTGCATGATATTAGTGCACATGGAGGACTTCCCTTCAGGTAAACGGAGGAAATGACAAGGACAGAGTTAAACTCAGCACCGTAAAAGCGCTTCCTTGCTGATATCTCGGATCCTTCCAGAGCTTGTTAGTGCACAGATTCCTCTGCTTGGAAAGTAAGCAAGTTTAAAAGCTTAAAATAACGAGAGAAAGTTTAAACTAGTAGCCGAAGTTCAGCATGTTTCCTGGCTTTGAGGTTTCAAATCTTTTCATGCTGCCAGTTGATATGTAAAGAGTGAGTCTCTTTACATATAAAATACTCGTAACAAATCTGCACAGTTCTGGATAAACCAGACCCAGTAATCCAGTGACTTGGAGACTAAGTTGGTATGCATGTGCTGACTTGCTCTGTGGCCTGTTGTATTTTTATGTCACAGCCTTATTAATGCTGTGTTCGTCTGTCAACCTACCCTTAGTAAGGGGCTGAATCTAGTTACGATACTTTGCAGTCTGTGCCCAGGCCCGTGCGCCTGGAGAAAGGCGTGCTGGGTCTCATCTTTCACTGCTTCAATGCAGATTCTGCTGACAAGTCAAGGAGCTCTCCAGAGACCCAGTCGCCTTGTGTTCACAGACGTTGCCAATGCCATCAATGCATGAACAATACCTGCGCCTGCTCTGGGATTGTGCTGAAACTGGGGAGGATGGAGCAAACAACCAGTGACTTCTCGCAAGCATGACACTGAGCCCAGCTGGTCAACTAGTTGGTTTGTGTTACAAATGGGCACAAGCACTGGGAACTGTCGTTACTTTGGAAAGCAAACCTTTCGTGATGGCAGTAGCAATATTTGGTGCGTCCATTACTACTAAAAGGTCTTGGGCTGTCATGCTCCAGTTTCTGGGCTGGCGCTGACTGACGCCATCTACCCAGCTGTGTGCTTAGGAACAGTGCTCACTATGTTGTAGGTTAGCTGGTTAGAGCACATGGCTGCCCTCTCCGGGTCAGGGAAGGAGAGGTGCTTGTTTGAAAGAGCTTCCCCATTGGTTTTGTGCGACCGGACCTCAAGAAGAGCCCTGAATGAGAGCCTCTCTGTACGGTGACCACAGCCTTGGCATACCCCAGAGGGGTGAATGCTGGCAAAGCTGCTTTGAGCTGGGACAGCTGCCCCCTCAACCTGAGTGGTAACCTGAGGCATGGGCTGTTACCCCCTCCCCAGGGAAAACATACCTTGAGGCTTATCCCCCTTGCGGCGTGTGGCAACATACCTTGAGGCTTATCCCCCTTGCGGCGTGTGGCCTGCTGATAAATGTGTGCCCAGGGCGATGCTGCAGTATGGGCAGTTCACTAGCTTTAAAAAGTGAAATGGAAAGCATTTGACTGATTACATCTTAACTGAGGAAGTGGCTGAATATCCCCAATTAGGGCTGTGGCAGGGACTCAGGAAAACTCACACAGCTTCTAGAGGCAGGAGCTGTCATGTCCAGCTACATGAATCCCTGCAGCTAAGCTAGGATTGATGGTGTTTGGGCCTGTGATGCCATGGAGAGAAGGCAAGTAGAACTGGGTCTCTGATACCATGTGTCCCCCCACTGCTTTGGCTCAGGGGGGGAAGTTTCTTCCATGCAGACTATCGTACAGAAAGAAGATTAAGGCTTGAAAACTTTTCTTTTTTTAAATGAGGAAAAATGTGCATTGGCTCAACGTTACAGCACGCCTGTGTCTGCCCAGAGGTGGCTCAATAGCTTGTTCTTACTTCCTTACCTTCCTCCTAAAGAAAACCTACAGCTTTATGTTAGCCTCCATTCGTGCTACCTGCTGGTGGGTCATGTTCATATCACCTCACGGTGGGTCTGGGCAGCTAAGAGAGCAGTTCCCCTGTAACCCTGGAGCACCCCTCTGCCTCTTTGTATGTCCTTCAGGACTGCGGGAGGGAAA